TCTCGGAGAACTAAAAATTTATGAAATGGGTCTTCTGTATTGTTCAGATACTATCAAAATTCCCAAAACAATTTGGAGGACCGATGGTCCACGTAGTAGGCACTTGGTTATCCGGTTAATTGAACAATTTCCAAAACATAGCCCATGATTCCAACTCAGTTAAGCCCAAGCTTGATCAAATCTGGTTGTTCAAATCTTTAACAATGTTGATCAATTTCCTACAAAGCTAGAAAGATGGAATTGACATAAATAAAATACAAAGTACCACTAGCGATTTCAATCATTTCTTACTAAAACCAAGAAAATGTCCCGAGTCCATTTGTTTTTCATTGACATCCTTAGCGAGCTATATGGTAAACTTAAGTCTTTCAAGCTACACTATGTCAAATGATGATCTTGCGAAAATTCTTGATAGGTGTTCTCTGTTGCAGGATTTGGATTTAAGTGAAAATCCGATTTCTAGTCTTCTAGAAAGCATCAAAGGTCTTATTAGGCTTCGATCACTTAGGTTATCTCATTGCACAAGACTCTAATCATGCTTAGAACTTCCAATGGGTTTAGAATTGTTGGATGTAGGTGAATGCAGTTCACTGGAGATGATAACAAATCTTCCTAACTAGACTACATATCTGGCTTTGAAGACAAAAGGTTGTGAAAAACTAGTTGAGGTTCAAGGGATTTTCAAGTTAAAGCCCATTGGCAATGCTGATGCAAAAATAGTTAACAGCTTGGGCTTACCTGAGTTGGAATCCATGGGAAGCCTGGAGAAGGAAGGAGAAGAAGAGAATGAAAATGAAGTGAACAAATAAGAAATGGCAAAGGAATTAAGGAAACAGAAATGGAGGCCAAAAAAACATTTTGCTCTTGCCAGTCATCCCCTGGATATCCTGTGTTTTGATGAAAGCTACAGTAGCTACAGTAGTTTATCGTTGGAGTGACTAATATCAGATAGAGGAATTGGTCATATTTTTACTCAAATTTGATGAAATTTTTGGTGAACCGTTGGAGATACCTAGTGCTTCAAAACAATCATTAACAACAGATATATATATATATATATATATGGAAATGGAGGAGACTTTACAATCTGGAAAACACAAAACATCAATCATCATCGCTCTCTATTTGTTGGTAAATCAAAACACGTCGAAGGCCCCGGTCTCAATCGGCTAGTTGCGATTTCAAAGAGAGAGATCAGCAAGCATGGTGATCAAGAGAGTAGACAAGAATCATACTAAGAAAAAGAAAGAGATTAGAACTCAAATCTCGCCGGGACAGAGAGCTCTGTTGGTGACATCGACGAGCACAGAAATGGTCATCTCATCGGCGATCTAGTGGATCCAAATCTGGAGCAAAGATAGATCTGGACATTTTTTAGGCGGACGAGAGCAACAGAGTCCAAATCTGAGTCATCATCTTCATCAGAGAGAGAGAGAGAGAGAGAGAGAGAGAGTGATGAAGATAGTGAGAGAATGAATTGTTAGGGTTTGAGAAACAATGGCCTCGTTTGGGAAGTAACTATTTTAGTAGGTTATTTTAGTTTTTGGCTATTTTAAGTAGGTTAAAATTTTTGTGTTTGGGAAGATGATTGGATTTTTTTGTGGTTGGATGTGATGTTTGTGAGAGAAAAAGTGAAATGATTATGGGTTTGATGTGATATTTTGTCTTATTAGCTATTTTAGCCTATTTTGTCTTTTTGTGATTTTTAGCCTAAATTTAGCTATTTTTTTTCTTCCCAAACACCCCCAATATATATATATATATATATATATGTGTGTGTGTGGGGGAGGGGATAATTTGGTCATTTGCAAGAATTTATAAAATATTTTAAGGTGTAGATTTTGGGGGAAAGAAAAATGTAAAATTAGATTTATAGACTGGATGCCTTTGTCATATATATATATATATATATTGTATTTTCTAAAAATAAATAAAACAAAAAAATAATACTACCAAACATGTGCAATATCTTTCTTTTTTTGAAATTTTTTTTTGAATTTTTTTTTGGACTCCTTGAACTTTGATTGATGGCTATATAGTAATTGAAAGGGAATTATATGGTAGTTATGAGTATATATGGTTACGGTTGGGTATAAGGTTATTCGATCTGTAAAAACTGCCTAACTCGAATCGCTCGTGCCTATTTGGGTGGTTTCACAAAATTATTACGATTGGATGCGGTTTAAGATTTTCTTATTTTACGAGTTACAGGCGAATCGCGGGTTTTACCTGCACTCGCACTCACCTGCCTACATTTATATATATATATTTACATTTGGACTATCAGATTATTTTGTAAATGTGTAACCCTAATCTTCTCTTCTCTCACTCACTTTAATCTGATTATCAAACTTGTAGGCTCTAACATTATAATAATATCACACATTGTCTTGTTTAAAATACTTATTATTCAATTAGAATTTTTTCAAGTTTTTGCAAATCTAGTTGTGTGATTTTTTTTGTCTTTTTTTCTATGTTAGTTTTTATTTAATTTTCATTTTAATTTTTTGTAATTCAGTTTTAATAGAGGATAGTGTTGAATCTCCCATAATTAAAAATATTTTTTAAATGAAAAAAAATAAGCCAAAAATTAAATTTTTAAAGGAAAAAACTCTTTTCGCAAACCGTTCGTAGCTGCTCGCACATCCGTGAATCTTATCTGCACAAAGTACAACCTACATTGCGACGGTTACGGGTTCAATTTTTTGCAAATCGCAAACAGACGAACGGGTTCAAATCGCAAATTGAACCATTAAAAACCGATCTGTAAGGATCCTTACATATGGTGTACCAAATTAATTTTATTAATTTAAACAGTAAAATCAATTACTCTTGTGTTGATTTCGAAAAAAATAACCGAAAACAAATGTCATAATATGAAAAATATATATTAGTTCAAGACTAAAAGCTACCCTCAAAGTTTTGACAAAGCACTATCATTTTAAAAAGTCCCCACCTCCAGTCCAACCTTAAAAATTTGTATGCCAAATTTGACACTTCTGAATAGAAACACCTCATTCAATATATCAAATTTATTAATTTGTTATTTGAGTAAATTATATTGGTATTAGCTATATTTTGATCTCTGTATCATTTTGATTATTATAATTTCAATTAATTTAATTTTGACATTAAATTTTTGATTTTATCTTAATTTAATTCAATTCATTATAATTATTAACGTTTTTTAATGAAAAATGCATAAGTGATACCTACTACGTTTTTATAGATAAAATTATAAACTTGTTTAACTATATATCTCAATCAACCCAATGACTATTTTTCTTTAAAAATCTTATTCGGTCTTATTAATTTAATAAAATTGACACAAAATTTAAAATTAATGATCAAAACCGAGTTAATTAAAATGACAATGACCAAAATAACACAAAGAATAAAAGAAAGAGGAAATATCATTATGTTCCTCAAACTTTCAAACATTTTTCAATTTGACCCCTAGACTTCGTATAATATCAATTTGCCACCAAGCTTTTGAAATTTTGATCAATTTGACCCCTCCGTCAACTACTGTTTATAATCAAACGGAACTTACTAACGTGGCATCAAATTCCATTTGGAACTACATTTTACCCTCCAAACTATATCTTAAAAATCAATTAGTCCAAAATGTTTTAAAAAATATTTAATATTTAATTAATAATTTTTTATCTCAAAAATGAGAATTTTAAATTTTAAATAAAAAAATTAAGTATTGGTCCAGTTGAATATTTTTTAGACAGTAATTGAAATTCAAGTTTTTTTTCCACTCAATTTTAAAATTACTATTAGTTGATCAATTTTATTGAAATTAATTTGGGAAATAAACAAGTTACGATGTGTGTGTGCACACACATAGAGTAGCTAAAAAAATTTCGGCTCAATAAGTTTATCCATGATTGACTTTAGATAATTTGAGACCTATAAAGCACATGAATGAGTATGAGTATTGACACTGGTACAATACGGGTATGTCGATATAGTAAAATTCAAAAAAAACAAGTATGGGTACGGCTTGATACGTTTGTAAAAAAATATTTATTTTTAATTTAGAGTAATACAAAAATTAATTAAATAATTTAATTTGTATTGATTAAATAATTTAATTTGTTAAGATTCAATATACAATTGGCATTTAATGTCAAAAGTATAGGTATAAAATATACCAAAATTAAATGTCATTATATTAAATGACTTACAAACCATAGATTAATTTTAAAATTATAATAAGCATAAAATTAAAAATGAAAAAGAAGTCTAGTAAATTTTTTTTTTTATCTTTGTAATAGAATAAAATATTTTATTTCAACTGAGGTATGACACGACTTAGGATATGTTTGGGTATATAAAAAATTAAGAAAAAAAAAATTGACTAATAAGTGTTTTGCGTCCCCAATATGTATGTAAAAATACCATACGTCGATAAAAACTCACTACGAGTACGACATCTTTGTTGAACTACCCATATTTCATAATCTCAAAATAATTCTAAATGGGGATTTTTATATTTTTGTAAAGTATATATTATTTAAAATTTGATTTCTTCATTATTGAGATAAAAAATTATTTATTAAATATTTAAATTAATTTTTTTTTTAAAATTTGGGAGACTAATTGATTTTTAAGGTATAGTTTGAGGGATAAAATGAAATTTCAAATGAAGTTTGGTATCGCGTTAGCAAGTTCTGATTAATTGTAGACGAAATGTGATGACGGGAGCCAAGCTGATCAAAATTTTAAAAATTTAAAGAGAAAATTTAAATGTCAAATTAAAAAACTCGGTACAAATTTAAGAGACAAAATAATATTTCTCCTAAAAGAAATTACCAATATAATTTGTCTTTATTGTTTTTACTTTAATCATTTCTAAAGACTTTTGCAAGTCTTTTTATATTAAAATAGTAGGAAAAAAAAAAAAAAAAAAACAAGAATGAATGACATATTCTATGCCAAATTTGACATCTTCAAAACATGTCAACAGCGAACTATTACAGGCTGGTAAGGTAAGACACAATTACATGCCAATTCTTATATCAGAAAGTGCCACCTCAATTCCTCAGAAATGGCTATTAGGGTGGAGATACCATATTTATAGATACTCCCCAAAAAACACGACACTTTCCTGCAATGAGTTTTTCTCATTCCAATATTTTTAGCTGATCATTTCAAAAGGTCTCTCTCTCTTTTCAAAAACTTTTCCAATCATGTTTTTCGCATACCCAATTCTAGTATTGGTTTTGATGATCACAGTTTCATATTTGATTCTTCGATTATTAAGCAAAACATCTTTATTGCATATTCTCAAGAAGTGTTGGAGATTGATTGAAGATAGGTTTCATGTTCACCAATTTTACAAAATTCCTCAATTCAATGAACATAAACAGGAAAATCAGCTCTACAGGAAAGTAGCTTCGTACCTGAATTCTGTCGCTTCCGTCGAAGAATCCGATTTCGCAAACCTTTTCTCGGGAAACAAATCGAACGAAATCATTCTCCTCCTCGATTCGAACCAGACTGTTCTCGACACATTTCTCAGCGCTAAAGTGTACTGGACGAACGAGAAATCCGAGAGAGATGGTTCGAGAGCGTTGATTTTGAAGATCAGAAGAACCGACAAGAGGCGAATTCTTCGTCCCTACTTGCAGCACATTCAAAAGGTGTTTGATGAGGTTGATCAGAGAAGGAAAGAGGTGAAACTGTATATAAACGCAGAGTCGGAACCGGAGAGGAACGGACGGTGGAGATCCGTCCTGTTCAATCATCCGGCGACGATCGACGCGGTCGCGATGGACTCGGATCTCAAGAACAAGGTCAAGTCCGATCTCGAATCGTTCCTCAAGTCGAAGCAGTACTATCACCGACTCGGCCGAGTCTGGAAGCGGAGTTACCTCCTGTACGGTCCCTCCGGTACCGGAAAAACGAGCTTCGTCGCCGGAATGGCGAAATTCCTCTGCTACGACGTCTACGATATCGATTTATCGAAAGTATCAGACGACTCAGATCTCAAGCTCCTCTTGTTGCAGACCACGAACAAGTCGCTGATCGTGGTGGAAGATCTTGATCGGTACTTGGTTGAAAAATCAACGGCTATAAGTTTGTCTGGGATTCTGAATTTCATGGATGGGATACTATCGTGTTGCGGCGAAGAACGCATCATGGTATTCACAATGAATGGAAAAGATCAGGTTGATCCAACGGTTCTAAGGCCTGGAAGAATTGACGTACGCATACACTTTCCACTGTGCGATTTCTCAGCTTTCAAAAGTTTAGCCGATAGCTATTTGGGGGTAAAAGAGCACAAGCTTTTCCCTCAGATTGAAGAGATGTTTCAAATCGGGTCAAGTTTGAGTCCGGCTGAGGTTGGGGAGATCATGATATCCAATCGGACTTCCCCTAGTCGGGCTCTCAAATCGATTATCACTGCATTGCAAATAAAGGGTGACCATAGTGGGTTGAGTCGGGTTGGGCAACGGTTGAGTGCGAGCTCTTCTTGTCGGCCCTCTTGTGAAGAGTCCAGTGATTCCGGGTCCTTCTTTGCTCGCGAAGGTGCACATACAATGAAGGAGTTTCGCAAATTCTATGGACTATTGAGGATGCGGAGTAGTAGAAAAGAATCGATGGATTTGGATTCGGTTGAGAAAGAAAATTCAGTTCACAACACCAAACTTGGCTAGACAATATTGCAGGGTAATGTTGCAAGCAAGATAGCCTATATTGTATCTGAAGCTCCAAAATGTAGGACGTTTTAGGTTGTGAACAGATTTATTCATTACAAGACTTTTTTTTTTTTTACAGTGATAACTTACTCTTTTTATTTTCATCCACCAAAAAAATAAAAAAATAAATGATACAAATTTTTAGAATCAAGCTTAATTTTAAAGTGATGATATTGTAGTGATTCCTTTACACTTCCATCGTGCCTAATTCCAAAAAAACAAAAAAAACGAAAAAAAGAAGAAGAAGATTGTACGTATCGTTTGATGTAAAACATTACTTTATATTTGTTGCATTATGTTATTTATTTTTAAGAATAAATTTGCATTGTTAAAGTAATGAAACATGTATGAAATTATTCCACGGGATGGCTGTTGTTGTTGTTTATATTTGAATTTGCGGAAAGAGTTGTGAAAAGAAAAGTAAAGACAGGAGTTAAATTTAATAGTTTTATTTGGACTAAGAAAAATAGAATAAAATGAAAAGGCATTTGTCAAAAATATTAATTTTAAAATAACTTTCTTCACTGCAAATTTTAAATTCAAATATAACATGAGTGAATGTGGTATTGACACAAGTAACAAAGCTCACAATCCTTAATTTCATACTTTTTCCGTCTTAAAATAATAGTAGTCATTTTTAAAAAATTTAACTTTTTTTAGTAATATAATTATTACACTTAAAAATATTAATTTTTTAAAATTATCTTTTGATAATATATTATTTTGGGAATATCAATTGTCATTATTATACTTTTTGTGTTGTTAATTAATTTTAAATAAGAACAAAATAGAAAATTCATAATATTTTAGTTCTTTATTTTTAAAAAGAAGCTAACATTTTGAAATAGTAAAAAATAAAATAAAAAATTAATATTTTGAGACAGAAGAAATATAAAACATCATCACTGGAAAACAAATTCTCTCTCCATTATCCTTTCACTTTTTTACTTTTGGGCATTCTAGGGGGTCACATTGCCTAAAAGATTCATAATTTTTAAATGATTAAGCTTTCGCGGGTAAGACTACACCTTATGGTTTTCTCTTTAAATAGAAATAGAAAAACAAAAAGAAAGTGATGTTTATATGTGATATATACATACGTGACTAAAGTCATGTCTCTAAGAACGAGTTAGATTAGAATGAACGTCCCAACAAGAAAAGTAACAAGAAATGTCTAGTTGAATAAAATTTATGATTGAGAAGGGCATATTAGTGGGATCTATTATCTATATAATAAGTCACAAAGGTTTTTAAAAAATGTATCAAAATGTATGTGAGATACATTTTGATCCAATCGCTGAGATTAATCCCAAGTATATAATGGTTTAGATCAATGGTTTATATCAAAATGTATCAAAGGTTTCCCGCCCAACACATTTCTGTGTCTCCCCCATACCCTCTGTTTTCTTCCCATACCCTCTATCTACCTTCCCATTTTGCATAGACAAATACTGCTGCAGAGTTGAGAAGCAGATAGTGAGGTGTGTATTGAGAGAAGCAGATGCGAAATTGATTTGAGAAGGTTGGAGAGAAGCACATGTCAACATCTTAGCTCACAGACTGCACTCTTAACTGCTGGGTTGAATTCAAATTCAAAAGTTATTGAATTCATATATGCTGGGTTCTTAACTGCACAGTTATGTTTCGGGTCCCTTTCCTTTCCTCTCTTATATGCTGGGTCCGAATTGGGTCTCTTATATGCACAGTTATTAAATTCATATGTGCTGGGTTCCTTCATATATGCACAATTATGGGTTCAATAGAGTATTCTTATTATTTAGTGTTGAAAACATGACTTTAGTATTCTCTCATATTTATTCTCTCATTTTTGTTCTTCTTCTTGAATTTTTTTTTTCCTCAGCTTTTGCCTTCATCAGAGCTTCATGTGAAACAGGAACTTGAAACAGAGAACTCAGCTGCTCGGTAATGTGAAACAGGAACTTTGCTCGGTAATGTGAAACAAAATGACTACTCCAAATTTTTAAACTGACTCAATAACATGCTGGTTTTGAAGCCAGTTTAGTTCGGTGATTTTGGTGATTTTGAAATAACTCAAGGTCACATGATTTTTTGTGATTTTGGTGATTTCTTCTTATTACTGTAAATACTACTGTAAATGTTTTGGTGATTTTGGTGATTTCTTCTTATTTCCATGTGGTGCAGATTGTGCTAGTTTTGAAATATATATTTATGTGACTCAACTGCTTAATAACACCAATTTTATAAATATGACTCAATAATATTTATACTTAATGACTTTAAGTATACTATGTTAGACTTACACGACCGAACTGAACCCAGCTTGTTAAACCTACTCCACTAAACCTAACCCACTACACCACTACCACCTCACCTACTCCACTAAACCTAACCCACTACACCACTACCACCTCCACTTCACCTACTCCACCACTCCACCTCCACTTCACATCTCCTATATAATGTACATACAATACATCAAAACATATAAACAATCAATAATACATAATTTATTCTCTCTTTCTCTATACATTAATTCTTACATGGTATCAGAGCAGGTTTAGAACCTAGTATTTTTGCTTCACCGGCGGGCGGCAACCTCACCTTGGCCGCCTGCCGGACCTCAACCTAGTCTGCTAAAATTCTCTACACATACCTTCGCTTTCCTCTTCTCTTCCAGCACCTTCTCATACTCTTCAAGTGTCATCTCCTTATCCTCAGGTTCTTTTCCTCCAGCCTCATTTGCAGTGTTCTCCTTGTTGACATCTGTTGCATCCTCCTGAGGCTTCTCAGCACCCTGATTTGTCTCACCTTCATTGACAATTTCCTCGGTCACTTGAGCAATTTCATCAGTTGTTGTTCCCCAGTTTCTTCAACCAGCTCCTTCACGTTTGAAATCACTTCCTCGTCCAGTTCCACTGTGGCGTTCAAAATCACCACCGGAGTTTGGCTGGAATCGAAGAGTTTTGATGATTCCGGTATGCCAGACGTTCCTTCACGGTGGCGAGGAGAGTGCGAGTTGGCTTCCGATTTCAGCACTAAACTCTGCAACAAAAAAATTGATCGGCGCTCGAAGCTTCTCGAGAGGCTACCATATGGCTTCGGGGAACGATCCGACGCTCACAGCCGGAGGAGCCAATGTGGCTAACGCGCGCCTCTTCGGCTACGCCAGCAAGACGGCGCGTTCACGGCAACGGAAATGGGGATCTTCGTGTCTTGCTCGGTTGGAAACAGCTAGAAATCTCTCTCAGATTCTTCTCTCCCTCCGCGGCCCCTCTCACTCCCTCGGTGATAACCACATTGTTTTT